TTAATATTGCTAGGACATTTGGTATTTTTAATATTGGTAATTTAATATTGTAATTTATCGCGAAAGCTGTGTCAGTAATGCCATAGAGCTGCACATCAATAAATTATTATTAAACGTTTTAACCTTGGGAAACGCCCATTATACAAGGATTAGGCATATTGGTCACTGAAGAGTTTGTGTTTTCAAATAATGTATGAATGTGCTTAGAAGTGACACATTCAAAATTATTTTTATAATATTGTGAAAACAAAGTAGTCAATTGTAGAAATATGTTTTCAGAACTTAAACTGCTTTTGTTTTTTATTGTTGATAATCGCTTTACATTTTAAATATAAACAACGGAATAATTTTGTACGATGGGTGCATCTTTTATGCCAATTGATGACAAAAATAGTGATCTTATGCCGTACACCTCATTTTTACAGGCATTATTCAACTGGTCTGTCCCGATTTGCAACATTTATTCCCTATTTGATTTTCTGCCATTTTTATCCTAAAATCCTATTCGTTGGATCTAGGGGCGTCGTAGAAGGGGGTAGGTCACCCTAGGATCATTCTGTACCAATGTTGTGTGTTTTTCGGATGAACACCTTACATTTTTGGTTTTTTTTATATCATTTGCTTACATGAGGTGCAGCTCGGATTTTGTTTTGCAAGTAGGGGGAACTTTAAACAAATATCTACTTTTGGGGATAAATGCAAAGGGAATTTGTCTTACTATGAGACATTTGGGTATAAAGCCAAAAAGAGGAAGATTATTCGAGTATGCAATGTTTACCATAATGGGATTGATTTACAAAAATGAGGCAAAATGAATATCAAATGAGTTACAAAATACACAATATAATACTAAAAAGCATTAAAACGATATATTTTAACTGATCTTCAAAATAATTTTCAACAGAAGCGCACTTACTAATTGGGAATCATGCAAAACGCATCGCGTAATCTCAGGGCCTAGTTAGAAATTACCTTTCTTATTGTGTATGCTAAAAGATCCACTGTTTAAAGTTTTGCTTTTGTTAAAATAACCATTTTCAGGCCTCAAAGCCAGTTTACACGATGAAATTTTTATTTTTGTCTAACTAAGCATTGATAAGACCAATTATAATTTATCCACTATTTTTCAACATTATATTGTATCAATACTTAAGGCCCAAAACAAGGATTTAAAACAGACAATGTAGTAAATATTTCATTCGTAAGCAGCTGTTTGCGATTCAATAAAGCCTTGTCTGATTCCTTTGAAATTTAATAAGAGTTTCCAACATAACTGATAATTCTCGAGAATAAATTATCGCTTGTTTTACGATTGCCAGGTATCTGAAGAAGCCTCAATTGAGGGTGAAGAGAGAGGATGGACTCTAGAAAAGAGACTGTTTTTCCTCAGGATAGAAAGTTAAGGATTTGACAAATGTGTATCAAATGATATTATAAAAGGTTTTATATAGGTGTGATACTCTTAATATGTATTTGAATGACCGTCCATACATTTGTCAGTCGACACACAGGGCTCAATAAATCTCTTATTGTGTGCACGTTCTTTGGTCGTATAAAAGTTAGGCTTGCCCGGACCCAGCTCATTTAAAAAATTTCTGCTTATTCATTTTCCCAACCAATATACAGAATGGATTTTGCATCTTCACAAAAATGTAAGCATATTTTGCTGAGTAAAATAAACACACAAAAATACTGCGCCCAAGTGTTTGAGATATATTTATAATGACATGTTAGTATGAATACTTGCATAATTATCAATGAGTCATCGGTAAGAACTTTATCTGACCAATCTGTTTAAAGTACTGAATCTTTTGAAGGGTAGGCCTTAAGATTCAGGGCCCATTCGTGAATGTTAAGCAAGGATAGCACATATCTAATTTTAAGGCAAATATGTCACTGCACATTTTGATGAAAGTAGGTGATTTTCGTGCAGGACCCTTAAAAAAATCTTTGTGACCACGTCCTTCAATTTAGTAGCTACAATCCTTAACAAAAGTCCTTGGAACACCCTGCGACCAATGAAAGATTTTGAAGAAATAAAGGTTTTTCCGGCTGAAAGATACAGAAATATCCCCCCTCCCTCTATGAAACAATGTTGGCTGAAAAGCCTACTACTGACCCTAGCTAATAAACGGACATTGGACGAATTTCAAGCTTTGAAACTGTTGTTATTCAACATTGTTTCAAGGGGGAGAGGGGGATGCTACTGAAGTTATGCGAAATTTTAGCTTGGTGTACCAAGACTTTTGGCAAGGATTGTAGAAGAACAATCCATTAATGATTCTTGTATCACGATTGACATCTCATACGAGGCAATTAATGATGTAAGAAGTCGACCGATTACACTATTAACAAGTCATTCATAATATCAACATTACTGTAACTTCTTCAATTAAATATTGCTGAAGTACATTTTCTGTTTTTTATCCTTTTATTCATTTTCAATTTTTCTACACAGCTTCGTTATTTTCTTCAGTGAGAAATACGTTTGAAAATAATTCTTGTTTGGAATAATTCGAGTTCCTCTTCTTCTTCTTGACTGGGAACCCTTTTTCTGTTTATTCTGTCTTATCTTGCTAAATCTATTTCTATAGTATTCGATATATTCCCTGGATCGGACTCTTTATAAATAATAAGAGAAAAGAAGCAAGTATTTTAGACTGGTGCGTGGTGCCTGAGCCAGTTACAATACGAGCAGACCAGTTTTGTAGTTTTTGTAAGTGTTTGATCTCGGCCAGACAACAACAGCCTCATGTCGAACAACAGATGATAGGAAACAAAACGTTTCTTTCATCTCTTATCGTCTTTACTTTCTTTCATTTCTTATCGTTAGCGAAGAAAGATTACCCAAAAATGTATTGCTTTTTTCCTTTACAAAAATTCTTCATCAAGTGCAAGATACTAACTTTTTGAAGGCTTTTACTACTGTTACTAGGTTTTTGCCATCAAAGAACAAGATACGAACGTCGACAAGACTTTTTTGCCTCCCCCACGTTTTCAGTGTCTGATGGATAGGAATAGCGAGTACACGTTTTCCATTTATAAGATGGTGTATAAGAAACTAGTACTAGGTTGCCCAAAAATTTAGGAATCTTTGGTACTATGTTCAAGAAAATTCCATGTTCAGAAAAAGTGTCCGAAAGTTTTTATTTTATCAATTTTTCTTTGGAAAATGATAGCATACTTCCGATATTTTATTCCTGCATGGGTTCTTTCGTGGCGATCTTTGTTTATTCTCTTCCAAACTGCTCAACTTCAAAATAATAAGGGGGTGGGAATAAGGCAATTTTAAGTCCCGAAATAAGTAACCCACTAAGAATCTTTTATTACTATAACGCCAAAATTTGGATGCCAAGTTAAGAAACTTTTAGTACTTAGTGCTGATTCTGGTTTCTTAAAAAATAAAAAAAGAATCATTGATTTTATAAGGAAGGGTGAACCCTCCAAACCCGGGTTTAACATACCTCTACAAAATGTATTCTTATATTCTTCGGTAGCCTCTTCAAAAAGATTGGCGATATACACAACCACAACCATTGACAATCACATTTGATCTGTTTTCCCTTTCACTGTTCATTTCCCATCAGATTATTGAGTTGAGTTTTGACACTCTCTTTCACTCGACTCGAGTTCCGAAAATTAAACAGATGTTAAATAAAGCATTAAAATTAATAAAAGCCTCTGTATCATTATGTTTTTAACATGTAGCGTTTCACTTTGTATTCAAATGTCAATGTCGAAGTTTCGCAAGCAACTTTG